AAACTGAACTCTTCACGCGCACAGTAGCGTTGGTCAACCATATAGAGATTTATGATATTCGGGCTTGATTCGAATTAGCTATCCTTCAACCATTATCCCAAGTTTATTCGACCAATCATGAAAAGGTATGCTTTTTCATGCAAAAAGTCTCGAGTTCTACTTCAGCACAGATCAATGGATGTGCAAAAGTGACGAGCTCTTACGGGAATGAAACTTATTTCTAGATCTTCCTGTATCTGATCGACTAAGTATACTGAGAATTGTGCTTGCGGCTGAAGTATGAAGGATGACCAGTCAAATTCAATAACGGTTATCCTATACCATTCAAAAATAACCCTGAGTTAAAATGCAGAGCATACAGATCTGTTGTACACTTGGAGCGTTTCACTATTCACAGAAATGTTCGGGAAGCATTGAACACCTATTGAAGCGATCTGTTCAAGAAAATAATGCGAAACATTTTTCGGTTAGCCAGGAAGGCCCTCAGCAGAAGATTTCACAACAGCAGTCTTCTGGTACAGCTCTCAAACGTTCCAGACTGTGTAAAATGATGCCCCGATTGACAAGGCTTATCAGCTGATACTGGACACACGTGCGAATATGCGCTATGGAGCATCTTTACAGTTCGATTACTTGACGAGTGACGGATCACACTCATCGTTTTATCGATTTGTTCTCATCAACTTATTTCGTTACACATGATTGTAAGTTTTGCACTCATTTATTCATCCATTCAGCAAACGATTCACTCAGCATTTAGTTGTTTTGTGTCACGATTCTGACGACGTGAAATTGAGGATCAATCTGCGCTCATCAAAATTTTACAGAAGTAGCCTAGCTTATTGGTCAAACAAAGAGAATAGAATTATCGCACTTCTGGAACTGTTTCGAACAGAAACAAGTCAGTTGTAACAAGAAGCACCAACTGATCGTCTAATATGATACGTTTAACTAGTGATAGAAACGATGTGAGTAAGTTCTGGTAGCGGATATTGCATATTAAAGAATCCAGAGAGCAGTTAATCCTGCAGAATCTGGAATCTGCCGAACAAACGCGATCGTGCAAATTCATTTTGTCAAATCACCTGTGACATTTTCCGTGAAAGATTATAATTGTTAAACGTACGACCCACGGGTCGCAAAATCCCGAAGTTCCTGTCGAAGAACGTCTGAAGTATTGGTTGAGCTAATAGAGAATGTTTTCTTTGAAATAAGAAATCATTGATGATCGACTCAAATCATTGGTTTTAGTCAATGGCTTTGAATCTCCAAATGATGCTTAACTGCGTACAAAGCTGATTGCGAAACAGGAGTCATCAGAAAAACAATCCAGCTTGTGAACACAAGGTTAAGAAACAGAGTTTCTGTAGTTTCTATTAAAGAAAACCCGTGTACTACTTCAACACGTTTACTCATGTTAGACACCAGTCCAGAGCCATATTCCGAACCAGGAGTTGTTTATTCAACCCAGAGCAGGAATGGTTATACAATTACCTAGCAACTGGCTAGAGCGGAAGACATAATGATTGTTTCCCTCTCAACTTGGATTGCTCTTGGTGGGCAAATATACAGAACTACACATTGTGCCGCTAGGAATGCCAGTGAGCAGAAAATGCCGTTCTTGGGTATACTAGAACTTGAAGTTTGTTTGAGTACTTACTATTATCATAACATTTAATGGGTATATACCTCTCTTAGGTCGAGAGTAAATGAATAAGATTTGATTATTGATATAAATTTTAGTTCACTATTCTTAACACATTGTTATTTCCGAGTTCACTTAGTCTATTTGACGTTGCAAATAAAGCTAACGCATAACAAGGTAAAACGATCAAACATATCCAAAACGCACACAGAACTATTTGGATCAGGTTGAATATTATGCAATAAACCCAGTGATATCCTTTAGGTAAAATAGGGTTTTATTCATATAACGCCCAGTTCTATATGTAGCTTTAAAATCGATCGATAGCAAAGTGGAAAGATAGGAGAATGCAAGCGTACTCCCATCAAGTTAGCTATTCAATCTAGACTACGTCAATCGTGTAAGTAAGGATGGCAACCTGTACTAATTTTTTCACTGGACTTAAAGACTGTTGAATTTTGATCAAAACACATTGCTAACTATTTATTTATTTTATATTATTATATATTATTTTATAAACTAAACAGAAACCAAACATCACTTATCAACTGATTTTTCCTATGCCTATCTTCATAGTAAAGTGGACCATGTATTTTGGTAATTGAAAAAAATTATCGCGGGCCGTATCATTATGGTATATTGCCGCTCGAGAAAAGGCGCGCTCCGACCATTTTGCAGTAAATAATTGACACAAAACTAAGTGATCTATGTGCGCAACCCCATCTAAGTGATATCATCATGCTTACAAGCTTATTTTCAAAATTTTGCGATGCTTAGTAGGGGCAATTAGGTTTTAAATGTTATATAAAGTAGAACTCAATTTTTCCTTCAGACATACGATTTCTCGGTTTGATTATTGGTCAAAACCGACATACATACGTCGTACAAAAATACAGGATAGCAAACAAATGCGTTTGCGGTGATTCTTTTAGAGACTAATACATTACAATTTGAATGGAACTTTATAGTGGGAAGGGGAGAAATCATGACAAGTTGGAAAAGAAATAATCGACATTCCAGTTCCATGACCGGATATTGCTTACACTTTAGTCCTCACGCATGCGCACTGGTTCGGGTCATTAGGGGTGGTTGACGGGATGGCTGCGTCGTGCTTAGTGTCGGCCTTGGAGGACCGAGTGTTCACACTGATTGTTTTGGGGAGCATATGGGGTGCAGGAGGGGTGTAGACAGATTTCGATCGCTTCCGCTGTGGCCAGAATCAAACTCCTAATTCTCTTAGATCAACGACTGCGAACTAAGTAGAGGGGTTGAAACACCTCGGTCACATTAATTACGTGGTCTGATTCCACTAAATGTGAAATAACTGAGTTGTTGATCGTCTTAATTACTCCACTATTCAAGAAGGCGGAATGGTGCTCCCGAACTCGTTCAGATAAACGTCTGCTCATGCGGCTGATGTACCTTGTCCCACAGGAACAAGTAGATAAGTATATACAGAAAGAGACGGCACAAGAGGCAGTTTATCTTTGAGCTAAAAGCACACACTCGGTCTTTCATGGCCAACATCACACATGGAACAGTCATTCCCACACCCACCCCTAATGACCCGAACCAGTGCGCAGTTGTAAGGATCAAAGTGTAAACAACATCCGGTCATGGAACTGGGATGTTGATTATTTCTTTTCTAACTTGTCGTGATTTCTCTCCCTACTATAGAGTTTGATATGAATTGTGATGCATTAGCCTGTAGAATAATAACCGCAAACGAGTTTGTTCGCTTCTCTGTGTTTTCTTACAATATGTGATGATGGTACATATCGATCGAACTAGTGCAAAACCCTGACTTTCGTCAGATTTCTTCCTCTTAACCCACGGTGTTTTGGAATTCACTCACAGGAAGGGATATGGTACTGCCATACATCACGAGTTCGATTCATACCTATAAGGCGAGATCTAAGGAGTCAGCTTTTAGCCAATACATGCAACTTCAAACGAACGGAATAACAATCACTCCTTGGTATTTTAAACTACGATAGTGACCCAATTCCGCTTCACTTCGGCTTCACTTAACGTCCTAATCAAAACATCAACAGGGTTGTCACTCTAGTTGTGATGAATTAGCATCCACGCTGATGGTGACGCACTACAATTGTGGTCTTATCCTAATAGTTGCTGCAGATACCTCCGAGTACATCATTGGGGCAGTGCTGTTCTGTAAATTTTCAAGTGATCGTTCGAAGAGTCGATGTCCCAAACCTCACGTGTGATGATAAAAGCGAAAATCAGCTGTGGTCAGATGGAGAATCATCGTCTCCAGTGTTCCCTGTCCGTAAATTTAAGAAAATGTCTCATGGTAGGAATTTTACTTTACGCACAAATCACAAACCATTAGTGGTCATTTTGCGAACGATAAAAGTTATCCGCATTCATACCGCTAACGGATCTCAAGGAGGAACATCAGCGCCACAATAGATTACATTCATTCAGGCACAGAAGTTCGATACGCAGACGCACTATTTTACTTCAGAAGAAGAAATTTTAGTACTGAATCTGATTCAGACTCCGTTATAGTACTAGTCAAAGTTCATGTTAAGATTAGGCATATTTTCCGTGAATCCGTTCAAAATTTATCTGCTACGTTCAGTGTGATACAAAAGAAAATGAATTAGACGGTGAACTATAACGCGTAAATTATTTTCTAAACACTAGGTAACCACAAAGTATTAGCGATCAATAATCTATGGAAGTTCATCACGGTGTGGGTTTGGCGTTCGCAAAAGACTATCACAGTCAAGCACTTACCGGGGAACATAGGGTCAGCATCGGTAATATTCAACGGCACCTTTGGCTTGGGTGGCTCTAATAATCGTCCGTTATAGCTCCACTGGACTGTAAGACGATTTCCTTCTGAACTTTTATTCTCCAACTCCAAATAACAACCAATTACATCTCCCGGAACCACTGGCAAACCGTAGTCTTCGGACATGTTTGCATGAACAAAACGACCGGTCGGATGAAGTCGTGCAGCCGATCCGGCTCCTGGAAAAAACAAGGACAGATAGAGTATTTGTTTTGAATGCGGTAGCCAGACTGCCAGACAACTGTGGGTTCTGCCGAAGAGTTAATTAAGATTTGATGAATGAACAGAATAACTTTAGGAATCCAGGACGAAATTATTCAACGTACCAAATTCGGTGTAAAAACGTTTTTATGAGTTATTCATTTGATAAAATCTAACAAAAGTGGGTCTAACGGCTGATAAACCTAGTCTCGATTTCGTACTCAATTGGGTCCACGATGCTTAGATATACATAATATTCAGGGAGTCGACTCGAGATAAACCTCAAAGCATCGTTGCGACCACTCTGTGTTAGCTTTTATAGATTGGATTCGTCTAAATTCAGAAAACTAGTACGCAGTAAGTGACTGACAGGAAAAAATTCCCGAATACGAATAACCGAGGAGAAACCGGGACCGATCACATGATTCTGGAGAATTGTTTCAGTAACCCATACACTGCTTACTATTGGAACACTGAAAATCACCTCTGGTGTCGAGTTTGGTTCGGGGCATCTGAGATAAGAAAAGATAGCATGGAATCATCATAATGATTCCTTGAAATTGGGTTCTCTCGAATCGAGCCCTGACATGCAATTGAAGTTTCAGTTGTCTTATGCAGATCGATTCAAAACAAAATAACACCAATCGCTACAAATTGAAAGATAACCTAAGGATACGCACCTATCTCATCAGCACCGTAGCCAAATCCGTTAGCATCCGTGCCGAGGATTAAACTGGAATCGTTTGTAGACCAACCGAGTCGTATTTGGCCTTCTTCCAACATGACCGCTTCGTAGTAGTAGGCACCGGGCCATTTGAGACCACGATTTGCTCGACAACCCTAGAAAAAAGAAGTGCGGTTGGATTCGTTCAGTGAAAGGAGGCATACGCGGAAAACTTCATTTTAATTATTTGATATAACAACTATTTCATCGGTATTCCAACCCAGAGCCGTGGCCGACGGAAGCCGTTATAGAAAAGTAGGGTTGCGGTGAGGCAAAAGAAAAGGCGAGGGGGTGAAGACCTTTGCTCCTCGACAACCACCTTGTTGCAAATGGACAGCACTACTGGGGGAAGATCTGGATTCATTACTTCACTTTATACCGGTGTAACTAACGATGAACCGATTGTAAAGTGGAAAGCGAATCCAATAAGGAGTAGTCATTTAGTAGTTGTTCCTCGCGCGCGATTGTTCGCATCATCCACAAATTTCAACCTCCGCATTCTCCAGTGTTCAAGAATGTCCACATCATACATGATACCACATTGCGTGTATGACTCAAAACTCCACTATCCGCCTACAGAATGTTAGCTGCATGTCTAGGGGTAGAATGTACGCCAACACAATCTCACCAAGCCTTTCGGAGACGGTTATTGGCTAAAGCGATTACTCATGAGAGATACTTCGGACACAATTTCATGGAATATTTATTAAGTCAACTCAATTGAAGATGAAAGATTGTTAGAAAAAGCAGTGCATAGAACAACGAAATCTATCAAACCAATTACTCAACAAATCAACAACCGAATTTGAGCCCACTGCATAATTGGAATTTTGAAAACCAGTATCGTTCATATTGAAAGCAGAGATAAATGGAATGAAGATGGTTATCCAAAGTTGATGTCCGTTTCGGTGGTAATGTTATTGTCGAGAGGTTTGCATAACCTTATGCATATGTATATATATAAGACGAAGGTGGTCGGAATATGACCTAAAATGAGGGTGACAAAACCTTAACAAGCTTCTTTACGGCTATTCGAGTGCAGTCATTGAGATCAGCTTTATTGACGATTGGAAATTGAAATAGATAACGTTCAACTGGGATAGAAATGTTTGTGATAACAGACAAAGAGCACTGGACAGCTGTTTTGTGCTATTTGGGACTCGTCACCCCAGACCATAAAGAGTGCCTGGTGCTTCTTAACAATCGAATGGGTTAATCCAAGCTTGCTACTCTAGAAATGTTCAAATGTATTATGATCTTTATCATGTTTTGTAGCTTAGTCTTAGTAACACATTAAAAATTTCTTGTCTACTTAAAAAAATAATTCTTCTCACTGAACGCAATTTCGACGTGTCAGGATGTAATTAATTACAAAAGGTTGTTCAGTTGGAACTTGTGAACTCTCTAGACCACAAATGTCGCATTTTAAGGATTACTTGATGCGCAGCAAATCTATGGATTACAATAGTCCTTCTTTCTGCGCTTAGACTTCCGACACAGGGTGTAAATCAATAAGTGGCTTAAGTATGGTCAAGATAAACGTGGTATATTAGAGAAGTCAATAACTTGAGGAGTGCTTTCTTTAAAAAAATGTGCCTAAAAAATTATCATCGAGTGTGTGTGTGTGCACAGGATGACACTTAGTCACCAAAACTAACCTGCCAGTCTGTGTCATGCATGGCAGCCACATCGGTACCGTCAGAGCTCATTCCTAAACCTTGGGTACAGTCTGCAGGGGACATCTGCCAGTTCTCTTGGGCCAGAGGCGTTCGCGTGGGGCCAGGACGTCTGTAAGCTGGTGGTAGATTTTGCAATGTGCTTACATTGATCGCACTGGCCGGTAGAGGGGACGGGGAACCGGGAATAATGTAGAATTGGTCGGGATCCTCGTTGAAGGCAACCGGAGCAGTACCACTGGAAGCTGTACACAAGATTGATAGTGATAAACAAATGTATAACGGAGTAACAAAAGTTTTTCGATTGTCCGGAAAATTGTGAAGAATTTTGTTAAGCGAAGATTCCACTTCGAATGAAGTAGCTCGGGAAGAAGCATACGCAGTTTATGTGGATCTAAACGCCTGACTGACGAGTGTAGATAACCAAAAACGTATTACTTATAGAAGACAATGTATTTGATGCAAGGGAACCTGAATTCACGCGCGGATGAACTGCCAACTCCTGATTGAGAAAAAAAATAAAGTTAGCCAAGTATCTTTAACTGGCCAATTCGTACAAAAACAGAAGCAAAGCTTATGTGAGAAGCGGTATTCTCTATCGAGAAAGTGAGCCAGATTATACCTATGATTCGCCGACAATTTAACCGAACAAATCAGTAGATCAGGACGCGGCGAACTATACGTATTTTGCACAAACACATTTAGCAGATGAGTCTCGTTAAGTTAAGCAAGCGCCCCATGCACTAAATGAAAGTTTGTGACGAGTACAACGAAGTGGTCCACGTAATAAGCGTCACGTAGAAGTCCCATTCAAAACGGAGAACCACTTTCTTACTCTGATAACAAGTCGTCAACAGCTACAAACTGTTACAAACCGAATTCAGTGGATGGCGGGCCCCGCATAGCTCAGACATTACAGAGCGAATTTTATTAACGGAAGGGGACCAAAGCTATCTACAAAAGCAGTGGGTTTTTGAGGTAGTATGAGTATGACGTCACTTTCGTTTTGGTATTTGTAGATCAAAAGTTTAAAATATTAATGACTTATCAGACGAAATAACTGTATACTTTTATCGGTTAAAGTTTGGACCAAAATGACAAGCTTCAGTCTTAACAGAGTAAGGACTTGAAGAGCCTGTCGTATAAACGATGTAGGCCGTAAAACAACTCCCACAGCAACGAGTATTGACACGAAAAGAAACAGTTCCACCGAGGGCTACAATAAGACATTGATCAATGTGATACGATACACCTGTACAGCCTCGGAATACACTCATTGTCTGTAAATAGATCACGTGACCGCAAAGGGACGAACGAGTGAGAGAGAGATATATATATAAGCGACTAGCACATGTGTAGATGAAATGCACATCTCGACCTTTGTGACAGAACAACATGTAGCTAGAAAATCATTTCTTCATTATAGTCAGCCAGTACGTTAGTTGGAACCAATCAAACAACGTAACGAGCTGGGTGAGCCAGAATCGGGTCGATACATAACAGATCGATAGTATTTCTCAGAGGGTGAAAACTTTGACCGCTGGGTTCAGTATCAGTATTATATTTTGCCATGATCTGAAGAAATTCGCGGAAATTAGTCTTTTAAGGTCGAACTATTAGCAATCATGATGACTGTCATTTTTTTTTCCAAATGACGAACACATATTCCGTATGTCAGTTTGAAAAGCTATTGGTACTTACTTCTGTGACGAAACTAATGAACTACGGTCTTTCTAATTCGTGTTGATTGGTTAGCCTCCGGGACTAGCAGAATTTGCAATACACACGTCCAGCAATTCTTCAGGAACCGAATACACACGTTAGATTAATAGCCGTTCTCTAGCTCCGCTAAAGATTGATATTGTTGATAAGTAAGATTAAGATATGACAAAGCGAAAGGGAATTTTCGTGCGATGGAAATGTTTGTGATAACCAACAAAGAGCACTGAACAGCTATTCCGTCCTGTTTGGGACTTGTCAGCAGTACGTACGTTTTGTGTCCCTGTCAGGACTCGAATCGCGATTCTTCGCACTGCTGACTAGTCTCAAACAGGACGAAAAAGCTCTCCAGTGCTCTTTGTTGGTTATCGCACGAAAATGCAAACAAACAGTGGGGAATNGGGAATTAACGATCTCCCAAGGAATAAAACCCACATCGAACATCATCAACAGTGCCTGATGCCCGTGAAAAACCGAATGGGCTAATCCAAACATTATCCATCCGAAAAGGAATTTGTTCATATCAATATGAATTAGAATCAGTATTTGAATTGTACGTTTTGTGCGCAACTGCCGTACACACTTTCCGTAATGCGCCAATTCTCATTGGGATGAGCACAATTATGTGCTCCACCTGATATAATGTCCGTGTATGCCCGATAAGTTTCAAGTAGGAAACAGGGAAGAACAAAATAGCTAGCGGAAACAATGAAGCGACTTGTACACGGTAGCATGTGGACATCCATGGGCGGGAGAATGACATTCCGGAAAAAAAAAACTATGACCGTTTTCAAGCAGTGCTTTTGTGGCATGTGATTGTGACATTCTCCCATCAATAAGAATGAGATAGGGCTCCCTCGACTGCTGATGAAAAAAACAGGGTGTCAGCCTCTGCAAAGCTAAGAGAATCGCAGCGCCAACGTGCCCCTAGTTTTTCAAACCTATTATCTACTGAAAGTCATTCTCAACCGCCCCATAACTATATCACTCCACATGGGTTCATTTCTTCAAGGTAGACCTTGCTCACTTCTATGTCACTGTTTTGCTCGAGGATGCGTTGACTGTCAGACCATTTGTCAGGGAGTCGAGAATCGCACTGAAAATGCGTCAACTACAATGTGACAGTTCTAAAGTTTCAACCCATGGCTAATTACTTTTTACAATGACAGATGACACATATAAGAACACGTACGACGTGTGTATCCATGATCTGATTCTTTACAATTCGACCAATGAACGATAAATTTCTGCCTACGTTTCATATCACCTCAGTGGCCAAACAGCCATCTAAACTTAATCAGAGTCACTCAATCGCGTTTATCCATTACAATAGGCGTTATAACATGTTTCAGCATTATAAGATATCGACTTCAGGCCTTATTAAAACAAATTTCCGTGCTTATTCGTGGTTTATTGTCATTTAGGAGTTAGGTAATGGAGAAGAGACAACCACAGACTTGTGCACAAACTCAATATCATTTTGAGCCGGAGATATACCTTTCGATGCCATTTATTACCGTCTTAGCATGCATTCTTAAATAAAACAATACAGTGTGGACATCGAGCGATATTTTTCTTATAATTTTATGCTTGTCAGAAGAAAATTTGGGATGCACCGATGGCAGTGAGCTACTGCATACTATCCGCATCGATTCCGTCACAGCTGAATTGCAAACCCCTAGCCTGTTTCACAACACTGTTAGAATGGACTTTCACATTTTTACTTGCACAAAGATTTACCTGCCCGAGTTCTGTAAGATTAAAACGTGATTTCGCAGGATAGCTTGTTTAAACGCATTTACCACGAATAAACTGTTTCAAAAGCACCGCCGTCGGAGTTAGTTATAAAGCCAGAACGTTTTACAAAGGAGATTTTTGAATACAACCCCGTTAGAGTTTCCAGGAATGTGTTTCTGAATAGGTATTACCAACTTAGACTTATTGTTCCGGAGGATAATCATCCATTTGACGTACAAACAAGGTACGATTGACAAGATCGACGGTAAAAATGATCTGATGCTTTTCACCAATATCGACATTATTGAATTTGTATTCGTACTTAGCAGTGATCGCATCATACAGAAATTTCAATACTTACCATCATGCGAAAATACGACAAAAAGATAGCAACCGGAACAGCCAAGCAACTATAACAACAAAAATAACAACAACAAAAGCTTTTAACGATCAGAATAATCATCAACACTTGCGGGCATTCATGAAAAGAAGAGGGTGGGGTGAAGCAGACGAATAGATGTTTTGTTTGACCTAATAGAGATTAAAGTAAATATTTACTGCAGTGAAAGATAGTATGCACACAAAATGATGTGAGAAAAAGCCGCTTTAGCTGAGCACAACAATAGGTGTTATGTTTTTGGATAGATGATGATGACGAGGATGTAGGTGAGTTTGAGAAACTCAATTCGTCAATTAAAGAAGAAAAAGAGTTGTCATGTCAAGGTGATACATTAGGCATATTAGAGCTTGAAAACGAATAGGACTGGTTTGAATAATCAATCTGTCAGCTAGTCGAGGACAGACCAATGGACAACAGGTGTGAGTGTAAGATACACGACAAATGGGACACGAACAATTAGGCACAAAAAATGAGGACGAGGACGGCGTTGGTCAGACTCACTCTTTCTGGGGAACTGTGGAGTGGCTAATGGGGTTTTGGCTTGCAAAGTGATAAAAATCGCACACATACACGCGAGGATGGGTGTTAGATGTGCATTATGCAATGGCGAGGGATGGAGATAAGAAATTATTTTTCAACTGCACATCATGATAAAATAGGTCCGGGAAGCCAATCCATGTCATAATCACCAGGCATATAGTTAAAACATATCGTATAGTTTTGTTATGCAATAAAAATATGATAAGAAACTGGAAACGTTTTGTAAAATTACACATCGGGAAATCAATCTACAACTCTGAGCCGAAACAACTGTATAAGGTGTGCACGATGACTAAGCATACACTTCGCGTTTATCTACGCTTTATCCACACAGCAAGTATAACAAAATGAAATTTTTCAGGATGGATACAAAGCTGTCGTCTTACTAAAACTTCTTTATTACGCACTTGTGTTATGCACAGCAGATGGGGCGAACTCCATAGTCACAAAGACCTGCTGTTCAGTAATAGCAACCAGTAACCTAAGCTCTGGGACATGGAGTGACAAGGCCCTGCTAAGTTAGGAGTGGTATTAAACCGGACGGCATCATAGCTACCTACCA